CCCCACCCCATATACTTCCATATTATTTTAGAGATCAACTTCAATGCATACCTCTGAAAACAGACTAGAGTATGTGATCTAATTAGAATTGTGAATTCAGAATAAAAAGAGACAGATATTTCACACTGTGTCCACTACATTGCACTATCGATCTGATGACATCACAGAGCGAAATGTCTAGAACTGCAGATTTACAAGGACAGATGTTTATTCTGATCGCCCCATCTCTGGCTCTCTTTCAGAAGAATAATAGGACTCTGTTGCTAAATCACAAAGGTTCTCTTTCTTCTTCTAAGCCACACCAGGAACAAAGGATTCCCATTTGTCAAACCATGAGCTGATTAATAGGGGGGGCACTAGCCATTCAAATGGCAACCTTAATTCTTGTCTTGTCTCTGCACGACTCACCCCTTCATGTGTCCAAACTTCACTGTCTCCACTGTTTCTGAAGAATGAGTCTAGTTTAAATATGCTGCACTGGGACATTAAGGAGATTAAATAAATCCCTCAAATCCTTCTCACAGGGCCCCAGACATGCGTGGTCTGACACCAATACTAACATACTATGACAGTGTATATTAAAACTAGGTTACTGACCCCCACTTGTTTAAAAAAAATGAGCCTTATGTTTTTGCATCTCCAACTGACAGAGAAGTCTGAGCAGTTCTTATAGAATGTCACATTGTTTGCTGAAATGAAAGAAAATGCACCTGGGACTGTTTAATAAAGTTTGGCTGCTAAAATTCTCATCACAAGAGAAAATGAGTGAGGCCTAAAATAAACATGTGATTATGGCCTTTCCTAATATGCTGCAGCTCCGCCCAAAAAAGCAGACTATAGGCAGCCCCTCTTTCTCACACACCCCAGGGCATGACTGCAGAAACCCCCGCCAAGGGCCACGCCCCACGCCCCACTTCCTGTCACTGTGTCAGTGCATTATAGCCCAGCCTGTATCCTCAACAATCAAAACGACTGAGCGATCAAATGCTGTTCTTAGTTTTCCTGTATTCCTGTGCATTTGTGTATTTCGATAAGTGAGAAAAGGGGTTTTCAGGATTCAGCATTGACTGATATATTTGAGAAGTTTGAAAGTGGGTTTCATTTCAGGGTCACTCAATTCTGCTAATATGGCAGCTTGCACATGTGTCTGCTAGTTTTTCATTATATAAAATAAAGACCTAAAATAACTAAAGTTAAGTCTTTAAATGCATCAGTTGTTTAAGATTAGGCCTACACACATTTTATTATGTGAATTTCAATTTTAACAAAACACCTTCACCTGACATCAACAAAAGTGATTTTGATTCATCTGAAATAACTAGCTGCTTCTCTAGGTTTACTTTCCTGACGATTTCTTGGTTTCGCAGTTTAGCATGGCCCACAAGCAGCTACTGAAAGATCTTATTTTTTGGAAGGAACCAGGATAAGTATGTAAATGATTATACCACACAGTTCGAGTCAAAAGTTTGTACAGAACTACCCATAGAAAGGTGTATTTGTACTATTCTTTATATGTTAGAATAATTGTAAAGATCTAAAAACTATAAAATAACATATGTGGAACTGCACACTGATCAAAAAATATATAAAAACATAATAATTTGCTGGGGGGCAGCTCTGTGGACTGGGATTCAGAAGGTTGTTGGTTCAAATCCTGTGGTCAGCAGAGTGATGCCATCATTGGACCCTAAAGCAAGGCACTAAACCCCATTTACTCCAGAGGACTGGCTGACCCTTCTGTCTCCTCTACACCAGTTTCATGAGGTGGCCTTCAGGGATGCTTTTCCACATATGCTGAGCACTCAGTGGCCGCTTTTCCTTCACTCTCTGGTCAAACTCCTCCTAAACCATTACTTTTCTGTTTGGGTCAGGTGGCCAGGTCATGTGATACAACACTATCACTCTCTTTTGTAGGTGGCTTGGCCTATCCAAACTTTTGACTGGAATTGTATTTTCTGTCATTTTTTAAATCTCTATCCCAAAAGGAAAAACATCAAAAGCCAGAAATCTGTGCTTTACAATAAATATGGTAAATAAGTTTGCCCCCTTCAAACCCTTCAGGATTGTGATAAAGCAGTGTTCTTACAACTAAGCACACGTGTCTGCTCTGGTGACATTGCAGAGAGCTTGAAAAACACTGATCTAATTAGTGTGAGGCGGGCTCCAGCCACTTCTGGGCAGTCCCACCCACTGCCAGCATGTGAAGCACAGCAAGATTCTTTAAGAGCCCTTGTGCTCTTGCAGGTACCAAGCATTCTACTCCAGGGGTCTCCCAACCCCCAGGTCAAGGGAAGTATTCCACTAGCCCATGTATTTTTTTTCTATGACCCCTGGCATTCATGCATTATAATCACATCCTAAAATACTTAAATCTATTAAATCTGGCCTGCCAATGTGTCCACCCACCCCAAGTCAGCAAGTATTACTGCCAGCCTCCCCTGAGTATTACCATATTAGACTTTATTAGCATATTAGATGCACATACCCTCAGTACAGTCAGGGCATATCGCTGTTACCCTGGACTCTTTTCTGAACTAGGCTTGTGGCTGACGCTGATTCTTGGATTATGTTTCGATTAGTGTCACTGGTGCTTAATCACTAATCTTTCTGGGTTTGCACCTGGATCTTGAAACTTTTTCATTACATAACCATTGATATCAGTCATCCTGTGAATTCATATATGACAGCTACTTTCCATTTACCGCACATTTTAATATTTAACAGATTAATGACCTTTATTTATATAAATTATGTATGTACATGGCTAAATTTGGCAGTAAATTTTGCACAGGGCACAAAACCAAATAACAACAATTGCTAATCCAGCATCCATTTTATTAATATTTTATAAACCCTCTTCTGAACCCATACCCTGCAGAGACATGTGTTAACTCCAAGCAATGTCCTACCCTCTCCTTAATCTAGCTATAATCTACCTGATCCATTTACTGTGGATTAAAAGCCCATGTATCTACACTACCTCCATAGACATATATGTCCTCTCACATGGAGCTGTTGCCATGGAAAATACTTGGCAAAGTAATTAGAACATTCTGACGTGTCTCCTTTTTGCGGCAGATCCAGACTGTTATAGGTACAAAGCTCTAAGAAAGATGAATATGAGAACATAAGAAATTTACAAACGAGAGGAGGCCATTCGGCCCATCAAGCTCGTTTGGGGAGAACTTAACTAATAGCTCAGAGTTGTTAA